AACACATTCTTCTGTCAAGGAGTGTAAGAAGTGGCTCTGATGCTGGAAATTAGTGTTTCTTCTCTCTTCACAAAGAAAGGATTGAGGTTTTTTTGAGTAGTTCATTCCTGGTTCTGGCAAGGAGAGATGTCTCAACTGCGCTCCTTTGAAGACTTAGTGTTGCACGTCCAGTAATACTGCATGGATCCAGTTTAAATGCAACTGCAACTTCCTTACATTTAATCCATGTGTTCAACAAGGTTAATTCCTAGAAAAAATTGTGGTGTTGTGTGCTGACAGCTTATTTTGACAGGTGTTAAATGCTTTGCATGCAGGCCTTGAGGGTGTTTGGCAGCTTAAAACATTTGGTTATTACAAGTTTGCTCTCTCAAAATGGAATTTTCCATGCATAAGGATTGTGCCCTCCATAATTTATTTTTAAAAGCTTTTTGTATTTTGTTGTTATCACAGTAATTCTTAGGAACCCTTGCCATAGGGTCAAAGACTAAGTTACTCAAAAGATACAGTGAACCGCGTAAGATAATATGTGGGTAAAAATGTACTACAATGACCAAGATTAGTTATTTAGCATCTTATACTGCAGCTACGCTGTACACAGAATCTGATGAGATTTCCAGATGCAACAATGTATAAGAACTAGATGGTATGGGCTTGATAAGCATTTCACATATTATTAATGATATTATTTTGAATTTTTCCCCAGGCACAAAGATGTCATCGTCAGCCAAGGTAAATAAAAACATTTATTTTTAAATAGTGGATGAAGTTGAAAAGACTTACTTTTGACTGAATAGTATTTCCTGTAAATAAACACACTGGAACATGTGCTTATGAAACAGGGGTATAGAGCTAAAATAGCATTAATGATTACTCCAAGAATTCATCTGGCCAAATGTTACTTAAGACCTGTGTAAGAATCTTTGAAATTATGGAGAAATGCCTTATCAAATTGGATCTTTAGGAAGGAGAGCAATTTTTTGCTGGGCGGTGGGAGGATTCATTTTACTTTCATGAAACAAAACATGTTTTTTCTATTATTTTCCTTGTGAGTATGTGCATAAATAGTGAGAGGTTATGAAAACAAAAATCTAAAGTGTTGACCTATGTGCCAGTCTTCATCCAAGCAGGTGTGAGTGAGACTTTAGAAATAGTTTTAAGATATTTTATTTCTGTCCCATAACCAGCAAAAATGTCAACTCGTGAAAAAAACAGCCAAGGTAAGAATTAAGCTATGCCCTTTGGTTGCTTTCTGATTCAGCGCTCTCACGAATCTTTTATTTGGCTTTTCACCGTCAAAGAGCATCAGTGCATGATCTCTTAAAAACTTAGAGCATTTAAATAAATATTTCAGCTTTCTTATTATGGATATATATATGCATATGCACATGGCAATCTATGTGGGGATTATTTGAGGGTGGTCTAAAATAAATTACTACATGCGTAATTTCCTCAGAGAGGAATGCGTGTTCAAATAAGGTTCTAGAAGTCTTGCATTGTTGCCTAAGATATCAGAATATTAAGAACTGCCAACTAAAAGATTTGTTTTATCTCAGCTTTCTGTCTTCCCAATATTACAACATATACACGCTGATTAGACAAGAACAGAGACTGAAGGTTTTAATATAGTCTCCTAAAATGAAAAATGAGGCTCTTCTAAAGTGTATATCTTTGCACCGATGAATCTTGCATTCTGTGGCTACCCGCTGCTGCTGGCTTGTTCAGACAGGAAAAGGAGCCGTCTATCTGAACATGGTGGGATGTGACAACAAAAGAAATCCACTTCTTGTGTCACAAAACTACTCTGCTTTGATGTCCTGCAAACTGTACTGAAGCATGCAATTTCAAAACTAAAGCATGTAACCCAAGTGCATGCTGTACACAACATATATCTGTGTACAGAGGTTTCTGTCTCATGCTTTTTTGCTGCTAATTAACAAATCCGTAGTCTCCAAATTCTGTGCTGTAAGCAAGATTACATTACACACAGTTTGATTACTTTTGGTCTCCTCTGGATTTTCTTTCAAAAAGAAGAAAACACTCAAATTTTTTGGAGGTTAATATATGAATTGGTGTAATGAAAGCAAAATCAACTTGAATCCAATAGGTTTATCTTTTTTTAATTCATAAAGAAATTACAGATTTAAAAATATTCTAAATTGATGCTTATCAGAAGCACCCTTCAAAGACAGAGGGGTGAAAGAGGGTGCATAAGCATCAGGAACAAAGAAGAAATGTTTCTTTATGCCAGGTTGCTTAACACCAGCTGCGGAACGGTACATATGTGCAGCAGTGGTTACTGTAAAAAGAAAACTAATCAGTAGTGTCCAGACCAGCTGCAATTTAGCTTTGCAAGGATTAAACAAAACTGTTAAAAATACCCTTTCTACCAAACACAACTGTTCGCAAAACCAAGTTGCATACAGCTAAAATACCTCCAATACTAATTCTTTCCTTACAATGTGCTTCTGCAATTCTACATGTTCTGCCAAGAATGGGTCGTCCTTCAGTTCTCTCATCCTGGTAGCTGTAACTGGCGTGGCCTTGATGTGTACCCTGCTACCTGTTCTGTCACTCTGCAGAGGATGTGAGCTTTCACTGAATGATGCACGGGTACCTTTCATAGGTGCATTCACGGGTGCCATAGTCTGTGCAGAGCCTAACTGAAATGAAGGAGAAATATGAGGCAGATGATGGTGGCCCCATGTATATGGAAGATGGGAAGAAATTCTTGTCATAGAAAATGCATTTACTAACATTTTGAATGCGTGTCATGGCTTTTAACACCGATGAAGTTGTGATTAGCAGGATTCAGCTTCCAAAGAGGTTTTTTTATGTGGACCAATGAGTGTATTCTTGCACAGCTTTTAGCATTTGTGTCTCTCTGTGTGTGTAAGGCTGTGTTAGGTTTTGTGTTGTGTTTACTGCCACAGAAGTAACCACCTTTTAGTTACTGTAGTTGCAGAGGGTCCCCCCATCCTTTCCAGTAGAAGCTTAGCAATTCTCAGCCGATTCCCTGTAGTGCAAAGTCCTGTTCAGGGCAGGCGACTTTAGCTTGGTTTGTACTTGATAGCCACCACATAAATAAACCAATTTCCAGTTGGTACCTTGACCCAACCGGCCAGAAAGCTGGAGAATTGTACAGACGGTTAACGTGGTTTCTGGAGGTGAATCTCATGCAGCTGGACAGAGTTGTCTTGGGCAGGGTGGGATGAAGGGTAGCCTTTGCTCATGCTGTTTGTGCAGGACCTTCCTGCTCTGCAACCCAAAGGTGTGAAAATTTATAGCTGATTTAACACTCCTTTGTGGCTTACCAGCCTTTGCCTCTAGAGGCGAGCAGTCTTCAGCATGGTATTAATTAAGTAACAGCAGCTCCCCTGAGCTGCTCATTTCAGCAGGCTATACGTGAAACTCTGCGCACACCCCTGGCACCCAGCTCCCGCGCTAACGCTTGTGTCGGTGCACTTCCTAGAGATTGCGTGAAGGAGGCTCTGGGGAGGACTGTTGGTGTGCAAACTGCCAAGCTTCAAGGCAGATCTATGTAAAAATACTTCAGTGTCTTTACGCACACTTAAAATAAGTTTGAAAGCACAGTGAAATCACAGATTATCATAGCAGAAGGTGTTTGCATGGGATAATAGGATGGAAGATGACAATTCTGTGTAGCTTTGAACATCCTGGAATTACCTGCTTTCCTTTTTTTGATTCAGCTGTTAAAGAAACCGCTTTGAAACATGTCATTATAGTACAGTACCACAAAATGTAGTGAAATATGGTTTTGCACGTTTAGTTCTTGGAATGTTATTTTTCTAGCAGCAGAAGTTACTGCAATGTTATCTGTGTTGTGACCATCTGTGCATGTTCATTGTGATTTCTGTTGATAGTATGTATTAGCTGTAAAAGTGAAAGACTTGAAGAGTAAGTGCGAATCTTAGGTGAGCTTCAGTAGTGAAAGGCATTAGTTTCGATGTCTGAATTGACTTCGGTATGGAGTCTCCCAGAGAGCGTGCTGCGGGTGTTGTATGTAAATGTCAGCAAGACCCAGGCAATTCTCTCCTCCTGCCAGCAGCAGCAGCAGCATGGGGAGCCGCAGCCTGCAGCTGCCTTGCAGGCAGTCACTTGAGTTTCCTCTGCTTAGCACCACGCCGAGGCCATGCATGTTGCCAGTGTTTGTCATGTACCTTCTATCTCAGTACCCAGTTTTGTTCCCTCAGTGCCTTTATCTCTCCCACTTGGGTTGAGTCGCATCTGCTCCGCATTAAGGTTAGTCCTGAGCTTTATGCATCTGGATATATGCTGAAGCAGAGGTAATACAGACGGGAACACTTTGGTGATGCCAGTCGAATGAGGGAAGTATTATCCACACTTCCATACATTTGCTGAAGAGATTTTTGGGTTTAGGTTTTTCAGCTTATTTTTGAACATTTGTTTGTTTATCCTTGTAAACCATGACAACCTTTTTACAATAAAATCCAGTACTAAGGAGGTATTAAAAGCCTGTGAAAATCTAATAAAGCTATGGGTGGAATGAACAGGTGCTTACTGCAGCCTTAAAAGGACACTAGCTAAAGTTATTCTTTTAAATTCTTTACCAGCAGCTGTTTATAATTGCGTATAAAAGCCATCTTGCTTTTCACTTCAGCAGAGACATTTTTAAAGTATTAATCATAAAGCATTCATATTTTTATACCCAGAAGTTAAAGACCTGGCTTGTTTTAAGATAAAAGGTGGGTTGTTTTTTTTCACTGAGATTCCATGTTTGAGTTTGGTTTTCAGTGATAGCAGCTCCATATATGAATCACTTGTTCACTTATTATAAAGTAATAAGAGACACTTAGGCGTTTTTGGATGGCAATAAAAACCATATGTGAAAGAATTAATGAAAAACATTCACTGCATTCCTAAGTTTGTTTCTTTTTAGATTGTGCTTTATTAGTTTCCAGTACTTTTTCTGCTGTTAGTTTAACTGTGCTATAGTTCTTGCTTCACAGAACGGGGCAATCGTGAAGCACACAATGGAAAAATTTAGCCTGCTGACAGTGTGTCCTGTCCACTGAGAGTGCAAAATTCAGTAACTACCTCAGATCAGTTTTTTTCATCAGACACGGCTTTTCTGCCAGATACTTATTGAAGGGGATCACATACCTGAGGGCAAATGAAGACCCAGTCTATCTCATTACTATTAGGATGCTTGTTCTCATTCAGGCACAGTGTATCTTGTTAAAAACAGTGGACACTGTCAGAAAAACAAATTCCCATTTGGGAGTTTTTATCATTGATTCTTGGTGAAGTCAGGATTTTATTATTTAAGCAGGAAGCATTTAGATACAGTCTTACTGAGCTTGTTTGTGTCCAGTACGCCTTTTTGACTCCTTTTCTTTTTTAATAAAAAGCCTAGAGTTTAATATTAAACTTGAATTATTTCAATGCAAATGGTAACTGTTGTTCATACCTAGATTTTTAATGTCACCTGGTACATGCAGAACCAGGGCTTTAATTATGATTTACTTATCAAGTTATATAAAATTAATAACCAAAGATCTATTAAGAAATCACAGGGCTAAGCTGTAAAACTCATTCCAAACTGAGGCAAATCTCTTGTCTCATCTGCTTTTTTTGACTGTTTGGTTTGGATTGCACCAGCGCTCAATAGCGACAGTGCATGTCTGCTTGTCAGGTTCGGCAAGCATTGATGCATAGCTCAGGGAGAGAGATGGCAGACCCGCAGCCGCATTTTAATTCCACTGTAACTTAAAATGTAATAGTCTGGGCATGGTGGCTGAATTTGGTTGTATTCATCTCTGGGCTGTTAGCACTGGTTTAAATTAGAAACAGGCTTCTAAGCCTTTGTCCCTCAGGTTAGTGGTCCTACAGGGTTCTTGGACAGAGGCCTGAAAGCAGAAAGCTTGTGGGAAAGAAGCTATTTGTAGTATTAAAAAGCATAACTGCACTGGTCAAGCAACTAGGAGGTGAAGACAGATTAATAAATGTACTCTGGATGTGGTAGTTTATATTATTAGAGAGTTCTGCTTGGCCAAGCTAGTTGCAGTCTTTTGGGGTTTTTCGTTTGCTTGTAATTCACTTTAACGGTAAAATTCAGATGCTAAATACAAGTAGAACTGAGCTGAGGGTTTTGATGCCTCAGTCCATGTTGCTCATTTCGAACTAGATGGGGTGGGACCTATTGAAAAATAGTCACTCATAATTTGCGAGGTAAGAT